CCGGCCACCCTCCACAGCCCCCGGCCAGCCGGCCTTAACGCCCCCCTTCCGCCCGCCCCTACCGGCCTTAACGCCCCCCATGACCCTGTCCGTCCAGCCGGCCTTAACGCCCTGCACTGTCTGTCCGTCCGTACCCGGCCACCCTCCACAGCCCCCGGCCAGCCGGCCTTAACGCCCCCCTCCCGCCCGCCCCTACCGGCCTTAACGCCCCCCCGACCCTGTCCGTCCAGCCGGCCTTAACGCCCTGCACTGTCTGTCCGTCCGTACCCGGCCACCCTCCACAGCCCCCGGCCAGCCGGCCTTAACGCCCCCCCCCGCCCCCTGCAGAAGCTGAAGGACTATCAGAAGCGCCTGGATCTCTCCAGCCTGAAGCAGAGCACGGACCCACTGCTCAGCGAGTTCAAGGTGGGGCGTTGCCCGGCGGGGGGGCTGGCTGGGGGGGGCTCGTAGGGGGGGCACTGGGGGCGGGGGGGCTGGCTGGGGGGTTGGGGGGCACTAGGGGTGGGGCCGCTGGCTATGGGGTAAGGGAGTACACTGGGGGCGGGGGGGCTGGCTGTGGGATCGGGGGGGCTGGAGGTGGGGGGCTGACTATGGGATCGGGGGGCTCTGTTCCCATCTAACCGCCCCCCCCGGTCCCCCAGAACACGGATATCAGCAAGCGGAACCTGGTGCACGAGGGGGGCCTGACCTGGCGCGTCAGTAAGGACAAGGCTGTGGGTGAGTGTCGGGGGGCCTGGGGGCCGTCAGGGAGCCATGAGGGGCGGGACTGGGGGAGCGGGGAGTGGGAGGACACTGGGGGCAGGAGGGGTGGGGGTCTCGGGGCCGGGAGGTGGATGGGGGGTTCTGGGGGTCGGGACTGGGGGAGTTGGGGGGGTGAGGACACTGGGGGCAGGAGGGGTGGGGAGCTCGGGGCCGGGAGGTGGATGGGGGGGCTCCGGGGGCCGGGAAGCGTCTCCCCCACTGACCCCCCCACCCCCCAGACGTGCACGTGCTGCTCCTGGACGACATCCTGGTGCTGCTGCAGCGGCAAGAGGAGCGGCTGGTTCTTCGCTGCCACAGCCGCCCCCCCGGCCCCACGCCCGAGCCCCGGCAGGTCCTGAGCCCCATCATCAAACTCAGCTCCGCCATGACCCGCGAGGTGGCCACAGGTCGGCAGCCGGGGCGGCTCTCGGGGGGCAGCCTGGGGGGTTCTGGGGGGCAGCCTGGGGGGCTCCCTGCCCCCCTACTGCGATGCTCCAACTGTGGGCGAAGACCAGACAGCAAGTGTGAAAAATCGGGACGGGGGGGGGGGG